AATAATAATGATAAGTGTTATAGTATAATAATAATTGATAGTGTTGATAGTAATAATAATAATGATAATGATGATAATGATAATGATTATAAAAAATATAATGATGATTGATTCACTAATAGATTAGTAAATTGGTAGATGGATAAATAAACGAATAAACACATGTAACACAAACACGTAAATAGAACCAAGTGGAGAGGATGGCCTCTTGTGGCACCGAGGTGGTAGTGCCAATAACAGATATGCGATGACGTCATCATTCGTAATAGTGGGGTGGAGGGGGTGGAGTGGTGGGGGTGGGGGTAGGGGGGGCCAAGGACAGGGAGAAAGGGAGGGGAAGGGGTGCCAAGGACAGGGGAAGGAAGGGGTGGGGGAGGAGAGTGCCACGGACAAGGAGGAAGGGGGGGGGGTTGAGAGCCAAGGACAGGGGAAAGGGAGGTTGGGGATCGTTGAGTGGGGAGAGCAGGGGGTGTAGAGGGGGGGGGTAGGATAAGAGGAGGGGGTGGGGTAGGTATAGGAGTCTCGGGGTGAGAGTAGGGGTATGGGTGTCAGGATGTGGGGGGGGGGAGGGGGATACTGACCCTAGGAATCATGCGGTATGTTATATACGCTAAGTATAGACCCACAACGACAGCAGTGTTATTATGAAGAAGAGTATGTTCTGTAGAGTGTACGATAGATAGTGCAATGATGTAGGTTCTATTACGAATATTTAGTACTGTAAAAAAGGAAATAGAAAATTGTAGATTCTGTTATGAATTATTAATACATTAAAGAAAATTGGCACTGTCTGTTACACTGCTATATTATGTCTATTTTGGCTTGGCAGATACACTAGCATTGGTTGTAGTTATATCACTAATTATAGTGTCTCTACTGCTTAATCGGTAGTTAGAAATAATTAGGATGGTAGATATAATGGAAATTATATATACTGTATATATGTATAGGTATAAATGCATAAATATCTCGTAAAAATGAGAAACTTTAGAATTTCTTTATTGATAAATATCCGGTCTACCGTACACATGTGAAAAAAATAAATAAAAGAAAGACAGAAAATAAAAGAATGAACAGCCACAAGCGATAAGCGGAAAAATAATCCCACCAGAGACAGAAATCAAGTTAATATTCATTTACACTTTTATAATCACTTCATCTCGTGATTCGAATCTGGTTAAAATGAAAAAAAAAATGAACAGAATAACGTCGAAAGGTAGAATATGAAATATTTTGTATAAAGAAGGTAAAGTAGAAGAAGAAGAAGAAAAAAAAAGAAAAGAAAATGAAGAAGAAAAAGAAAAAGAAAAGAAAATAAGAAGAAAAAGAAGAAAAGAAGGAGAAGAAGAGAAAAAAAGAAACAAGAAATCTGACACAAAGGAAGAAGAAATAAGTAAACGAAAAAGAAAATTGAAAAAAGAAAAGAAAAAAGAAAAGAAGAGAAATATATGAAGAAAGGAGAGAAAAAAGA